CGTCCCCAAGCCTGCAGCGTTGCATGGGGCTGTTATGACTCGAGTGCAGGACCTGGCACTTAGCATTCAGAACCTTCAGATTTCTTTGACTGCCAGCATAATTGTGCTGTGACATCACTTTTCCACTAGACATTATTTCGTTGTTAGCACAAAAACGTCTTCCTTACACTCGCCATCAGCAAGGGAACTCACCCCATCTTTTATCAGGATCTTCCTTTTTCACGCAGTCAGCTTTCCAGTAGCCTGCGTGCTTAATTAGCACATGAAAATTTCTCATACGGCAGTGACGTCCATCCTCCTCCCCAAAGCCTCCAGTGGTGAGAATCACATTGGGTTTTATAAGAACTGAGTGGTGACCGTAACGTCTCAGGCCAGAAATTTCAGAGTGCACTGCACACACTGCTGCAGTGATACTCCCAGCCATTCTGACAGGACCATCACAATGAGGAACTGTAAGCCAAAGAGAACCAAAGAACTTACACACAAACAAGAACCAAGGTCTACATTTTAAATGAGCGATTAAGCAAGTCTGTTCAGCTTTTCAAGAAGAAAAAATTGTGAAGCAAGTTGACAGAGCACACAGACAATCTGACACGCCCTAGAAATCAAGCTGTAATGGTTTAAACTACCACCATGCCTACTTTCAACTTCTGCTTACTGCTTCCTCAACTCCTGACACAGTTCTGAGATTACTTTAATGGGGCAGAGGTAAGACTGGCTAAGAGACTGCAGTGTTCTAAACTGCTGTAGCAAGACAGGAATCACTGCAATACCTTCAAAAGGGTGTCTTTCTGATGAAGACAATATTTGGCTACTTAAATAGCAAAGAACAGCAGAAAAAGGACAAACACCTGGAAGCTGAATTTCAAAATTTTCTTGCGAGATCTTGGTCTTACCTTCACAAAGGCATTGAAATAAAGTTCTAAAGCATGACGAATAATCTCTGTTAATTCCAATGGTCCTACTATAAAAGAATATATACAGTTACCTAACTATCTTCTCTCTAAATACTATATCCCTTAGTATGAAACAAGCTTTCAATACAGGACTCTAGCTCACCTACGCATGGTAAAAATTACTTTCTTTTAATCAGTTTTGAATTTGTGTCCTCTTTGCTTCAATCAAGTGCCTTATTCTTGTGTTGTAAAAGATGATGAGGTGGAGGAGAAGCAGCTCTCAGTCTATTTTTGTATGCCATACACAGAAAAATTGTCTGTACTGAATGTTGTTTCGTACAGGACCCTCCTTTCCATTGTTTGATGAAGTAAAAAATTTCATCTCCTTGGGTTTAAATATATTTCTACAGATGGATCTTTTTTAAGACTGAGGGTTTTTTCCATTTCAGAAAATATACTTACCATGCTCTGTTTGGAAAACTTAGTACTTGCACTGTCTGGAACAGGGACCCAAATCTATTTGAGAGGAAAGCTGGGGGCACATACTGATAATTTGAGACATAACTTTTGTCATTCTCAGTAAAAAAATATTTAAGCATGGAAAATTTACCAGACTTTGAAGGCTCTTGCTATCAGTTCTGTATACAACAGACAGCAGCAGAAAGACCCCATTCCTGTCTCTAACGAATGAAATATCTTCACTGTATTAATACCACTTAGGCAAATGTTGGATTTTTTGTTTTAACTTAAGGATAGATCCTACGCCTTTAGGAGCCTTTAAGGTTTTAACACAAGGACCAGTCTGTCACTCAGTATCTTTAACCACACCCACATTCATTTAGCTTCGATTTCACTACATGTTTTCAGGTCTAATCAAGACATAACACAATGGATTCAGTGGCCTTGTTTGTTTAAGGAGTGCCGTCCCGCCTTATCCTTTTCCAGCTGCTTTTCCTGCTCCCTAGAACACAGATTTTGACTTTCAGTTGCAGATAGAACTACTTGTGGTGCTATACTATGAACACGACTAGTGATGTGAAACAGGGTAAAAATAACCTTCTGCTTTCCACTCTGAAAAAGGAAGCAAGCAGCCAAAAGCAGGAATTTTTCGCACTACTACTGCTGCCAAGTCCTTTTTATCATGGAAACACAGTCTTAGTCTTGGCTTTTCCCCAGCTGTACCACTTTTCTCCCATGTAAAAAAAGCAACACACAGATTTAAAAGCATTCCAGAAACAGAAATACTCCATGTACAATTCCACCCACAGGGGATAACAAAATAAAGCACAAACTGTGAAACGCTCCCGAGTGCTCTGCTGGACAATACTTTGGTAGTGCAGTAAAATAAAACACAACAACCTTTTGGGAGCTAGGAGGATAGAATGGCTTAGAGACCCATGTATGGAGGCAAGCGGGAATAAATTGAAAAGGGAGAGTCTGTGGGATCCCAAAATTAGGAGAAGGAGCAGGGTAGACTGGCATTGCAGCCCTGCACTGGAGGGCCCCATGCATAAAGAGAAGGAAGAGCTGTTCAGACTGAAAGGTTCAATAAACTGAAAGAATGAAACTGATCAGAATCACCAGAGTCAGGATATGGCTCTGGCCTTGCCATGGACAGTAGAACCATTGTTAGAAGGATGGAGAAAGCTACTCAGGTGGAAGCATTCCATCTGTTCCTTCCAGGGTTTTACTGTTTCCTAAAATCTCTCAGAGAAGCCTGCACGAGATAAAAGAATACTACAAAAACGAGTCAGTATGTACCTGTCATACTGGATAACAATGGAGTCCAGGAAGGTTCCATCCCCTTTGATGCAGTCAAGACAAAGTAATGAGAACATTTCAGATGCCATTCCTGCAGCAAGCCCAAAGAAAAAAAACAAAAATAAACAATCCCCTTCAAAATCTTAGAGCAAGCAGTAGTAAAGATCTCAGAACAGTCAGGGTGATCAAATCAAAGACCAACCTAGCCTAGCACTGTTTCCAACAGTGGGCAAAATCAGAAGACTGAAGTTGAATCTGAGAAAGAGCAAGTGTGTAAATACCTTCCTCACCTGAATCTTCAAAAATTTACAGCTCAAGGATTTTCTAAGCGAGAAGCTGTGTCTTTGTATTGAACAATCCCTGATGGATTTCTCATCCATGAACCTTCTCAGTTGCTCTTTGAACTCACATAAAAATCATCTGTAACATGCTGTGGCAAGGAGTCCCACAGCTTAATTATACATTGCATGAGGAACTTTTTTTTTTTTTGGAATTGGTTTCCCTTTATGCTTCCCAGTTCTGATCATAGAAAAGAGTGAGGGCTGTACATCAGAGGGATTAAGGTTTCTTAAAGGTCATGGAATATAAATGAACCCAAAGAAATCACAAATGTTCAAAGGTGCAACATGGTCTCTGCTGGCCGATAACACATAAATATGATTTCCAGTCTAGCCTTGGAATCACTCAAGAGGCAGAAGCACAAGCAAGAGGACTGTACAGGGAATCAGTAGCAATGCTAGAGTCCACTCTGGCTTTTATGGACATTAGGGAATTATGTTCATTCCCATAAGGTGGGATATATTGAGCCAACTACGTGACTAGAAGGCATAAACATGAATTTAAAAGGCACAAACACGAATTTAAAAGGCACAAAAGCCCACAATATTAGCACCACTGCCTGAACTTCTCCCGAAGTAAAAATCACCTTTTGAAAAGTGATACCCAAAAATTAATGTAATTACTGAAAATGGAAGAATCCACTATTTGTCCCTAGGCAAATTACTCCAAAAATTAGTCGCCCTCAGCACTAAGTGTGTATTTTACATTTCTTATCTAATTCAATCAAGCTTGTTTTCAGCAAGACCTGCATCTTACTTTATCTCAAAGGCTAATTGTAGAGCTCTCTATTATCATACATCTTACTCCTATGCACATTTTTCAGCTTGGACTTGTGTACATGTTAACCTCCTCTATAAGTAAAATTACAAAAAGTCTTTACTTTCTCAGTGTACGAGCAACTGCCTCGATCTACAGTAATTCTTGTAGACACTTCTATATGACTTTGCAGATCTGCCAGCATCTTTCAGTCACCACTTTTGCATTGATGTAGCAGAGCAGATCCTGCACATTGTCAAAATAAACGCAAACACATTAAATTGTTTTCATAATGCAGGCTCTCTAGATTTCTAGAGAGAATTATAAACAGAGAACCACAAAATTGAAAGGGAAACTTCTGGCAAGTATCCTACAGGATATTTATCTTGAAGTTACTCGGTATCTTTGACTTATCTTCTCTTCCAGACTTGAAATAGTCGCAAACTTTGCCAGCAGTTAACATAAAAATGGCAAAGAATAGAGTCATAGTTAAATTTCATTCATTAATATAGGAATGGCTGTACAAAGTCAGACCAAAAAATATCTGAAACCTTGTATCCAACAATGACGAGAGAGCAGTACAAGTGCATCTACTTCCCTCAGGAATGCTCCCAAACATTTGCAGTCAGGAACCTCACATCAGGTGTATTTTTATGTATTCAGCAATCCTCAACAGATTTCTCTCTCATTAGAATTATTGCTCCTTGAACCCATCCACACTTTTAGCATCTACAACATCTTTCACGCCACCGGCTCGTTTGCTATGCTAAGATTGTCTCCCTGAGAGACCACTCACTGAGGAAGGAACAAGAAGCTCTTCTGACACCAAAGACAGTGGTCTTCCAATGCTACTTGCCCCAGCTTCAAATTGAGCTTCCTGTAGCCTCTGCATGAACTAAGTCTGACTCAAGATCCTTTCTGGCTACATAAACACCTGTGCCTCAGCAGCTCTTGTACAGAACTGTGACCATAAGAAACTGCAGACACCTTATCATATCAAAGCCAGCTCACTGGTGTTGAGAATAAAGGAGGGTTACCTCAAATTCATCAAAAGGCTCCAGAGCCTGCACTCTTTGCTGCTCCTCTTCTGGAGTAAAATAGGTGAAAAACTTATTCATATCCATGACACTACACTCAGTCCAGCCCTAAAACAGAAATCCCTTAGAATTATTACCTCTGGAAGGATACAGACACACTGAAAACACAAGAAAACAAAGACCCTAAATCAAACACCCGCATGAGCCTTTTAGACTGTCTAGCTGGAACAACAGCAGCCCAGAATCCGTTGAGCATAGATCCCTTACCTGTAAAGCTCTTAAGAAGTTAATTTATTATATCAAAAGTCACAGAGGAACCCATCTTGCCTTAATCCCATACCAGAGAGTGGGCTGCAAGCTGGTTGGAAGGACTTTCAAATTACTAGTGAAGCTACAAGAGAAGGCAGTGTCTCAGCCTTGGCCCTGTTTGCTTCAACCCATACCTGACACAGCTGATGACTTCCAAAATTATTTAATGCTACAATCTTTCCCAGGTAAATCATGCTTCATATGTGTGCCCTAGAGCTGCAGGTACTTACCTTTTCAAAAAAGCGCCTCTGCTGTGCCTCACAATCAGGGTACTGTGCCAAAGAACGAAGCGCAGAGTTCAACTGGCTAAAATGCTGCTGCATGACATGTCCAAAGGGGTCCTCTGGGTGCATCTGCTCATACAGCAGAAAGCATGCCTGAGAGAAATGCTCTGCTGCCCACTGAATCAAGGCATCTGACCTGTCAGGCAAATTGTGCGTAAGAAATTAAATCACTGAGGGCACACCTATCATATGGCAGATGCAATATATCTTCCTGCAAGCATGCTATTAAAGCATCTTGACAGAGGTCATACACAAAAGAGAATCCTGTGCTGGGGACTTAGGAACATCTCCTCCCCCATCTGCGCAGAGAATTCAACCTAACAAAAAACTCAAAATCACTCATTCGAGGTTTTTCTTCTTATTCTTTTTTTCTTCCCTTTTAGGATGTCATGGGGACATCAATTACCCCATCACAATTATGGTGTAAGGAGCTGCTTGGGACTTCCACAGAATTCCTGAGGCTTTAGCTGTAAGACAGCAGGTCTCCCAGCTCCAGGTGACGTACATACAAAGAAGCCTGTTCTTTTCATTTTACCACCTAGTTAAGAGAGGATATCTCAACTGACCTGCTATTTTCCATGTAGGTGAGAACCACCTCTGCTATGAAGAGTGTGGGGATTTCGTTGTCCAGTCCTGCTTCCTCCAGGGCTCGCTCCAGCTCAGACAGCTCTGCTAAATCCACTCCCAGTAATTTATAATCCTCTCCAGAAAAGGTAATGGCTCCTGAGAGACAAAAATTATGCAAACTCACTACAGTGCTGACACAATACTGAGACCAAAATGAACAAACAGGAAAATCAACCCCACTCACAAGGCTGTGCCCATCAACTCAATTTCTTTGGGACATGTACAAGAAAATCCCCATCACTAAATGAACCATAAAGGGATAGTGTCAAGAACCCATCTATTAAATGCAGATCTAAAACGCCATTATTCCTAATGCAAATTTCACCTACAGATTTCTCGTAAAATTATCACATTTACTATTACAGCAAAACTTTATCATATTTACTTCAACAACATTTTAATAGAACCACTGTAATTCAGAATCAAATCTTAAGGGCTCTCATTTATAGACCTTTCAGTCTAGGCTAAGAAAGTACTATGGCTTTGATAGAATTTGAAAGGTTTGTCTCAGAACCATAAAACCATTCTCAATTTTTTGGGGGTTTGTTTGCTCGTCTTTTAAATAGATTTAATTTCTGTAAAATGGCATTAAATCCTGAACCAGCACATGCTAGCTCCCTGCAAACACCAGGACTCGTCTCACAGGTCACCGTTCTCAGAAATAAGTTCCAATGTATGATTTGCAAGCATTATCATGGCATACCTCTGTACTCCATAAGAACATCATAAGCTATAGCTTGTTGACCTGTTTCAACCAAAACCAAGTAATAACAAAGCAAACTGTAAAACACCTTTAGAAATCACCTACTCTATGTCTCTGTACCAGTGTAATCCAACAACTATACCTGTCCTGAGAATTGTTAATCTACACTGTTCTCAAAGGCATCCATTACTGGAGGCATGATGGCCTTTTTCAGAAGCCCATCCCAGTGTTCCCTGTTAATTTATTCTAACAGCTAACTTGCCTATCCATCACTTCCTGCTCTCTTGACACAGAGAATAGAGTATTCTCAACTCTTTTGACACCTACCTTTTAGTTGAAGTACTTGAAGATTATTGGTATGGACAGAATTCTTTGTCACAGGATGCTGTCAGTATTAAAAAAGTGAATGGATTCAAGAGGAAACTGAACAAGCTCGTGGAAGAGCTACTCACTAGGACTCGTTCAACTGCTCATGAGAGCCAGGGACGTGTGCTACACCTAGCTCTGTAGCTGTCTCCCATCTGTACTTAAATTGATTATTACAGTCTAAACGTAGTGGCTTACCTATGTCCCTATTGCATTTCATTCCACATTTTCCAGCCCACTCCTGTACTTTGTCAACATCCTACTCTCATCCACCACATTGCAACTCTCCCTGTTTCTTGCTGCTTTATTACATTTTCACCTTCTATAGCATATCATCTAGAACATTAATGGAAACCCTGATGGAAATCAGATACAGGAGAAACCTCTAGTAAACCCCATACTTTACATTCCTCTATTTTGCCACTGAACTGCCCCTTAGTACCTAGCAGGCATAACAATCCTTTCAGCCTTGCTTACATTCTACAGTAGTTTCATAAGGCTCATTTTTTCCTGCCTTGGAGAGGGAAAAAACAAGTCAGGTAACATAATGACTAATGTTTTATTACAGTCAAGATACTTCAGAGTCATAGCTTCTCTTCTACCCATAAAGCCTGTAAATCACAGTATAATTTAGGTTGAAAGGGGCCTTTGAAGGTCATCTAGTCCAACTCCTTGCTCACAGTAGAGCCACCTGTACCAGGTTGCTCAAGGACTTGTCCAGTCAAGCTCTAACTATCTCCAAGGTCAGAGATACCACTACCTGTCTGGGCAAGCTGTTCCCATTTTCACTACTCACATAGCAGAAAAAAAAACCCAAACACAACAAACCACAACATTTTCATTATACACAACTGGAATTTCCTTTGTTGCAACTTGCAACCATTGCCCCTTGACTGTTTCCTTCGTGCCTCCAAGAAAAGCCTGGCTTCATCTTCTCTACACTCTTCCATTAGGTAGCTGAAGACTGCATTAAGACTCACCTCTCTCTCTCCCAACCTCCTCTTCTTGAGGCTGAACAAACGCAGTTCTCTCAGCCTCCTCCCTGTTTCATGTGCTCCACCACTTTATCATTCTCATAACCTCTCAGTGGACATGCTGCGGTTTGCCGCTGTCTTTGTACTAGTGAGCCCAAAGCTAGACACAGTACTTCAGAAATTGTAACAGAAAGAAACTGAACTTGGTTTGATATAATCTGCTCCTGACAAATCCATTCTGGCAGTTATACATCTTCTTGTCATCTCCCAATGCTTACAAATGATTTATTTGTTCCAAAATTTTTCAGAAAACGAACATGCTTTTCATCTACAACTTTGTAGTTCCTCTACCATCAAATCTCACTTTTTAAAGGCTGAAGCTATGTTTGCTGCTTCTAAACATTTAGTATCTAGAAACCCTTCCATAAATACCATACCTAATCCTTCCCCTCCAATATCTCCCACCAGTGCTGACAACTCTTTCATTCTTTTGATCAGAGTAGCTTTTTGGCATGCCACATTTGGGAAATCCACCTCATATACCACAGTGTGATGCAGAAGACCTATGTCCTTCAAACGGAAGTATAAGGAGTCAAAGCCAGCACCTAAAGACAGAATCTGCAGAGAAAGCATCAGAAAGTTATACTCAACTCTAGCAGCATCCTGAGCATCTAGGTGTAAAAAATATTCAATAACATCATCTGTAGAGTGACAAAATCAGGCAATCTCCTGCAAGAGGTAGAAGAATTTCGTGTAGGTATAGCCCCCTCCCAGATATTTCTGTCAAAGTGACAAATGGACAGCCACAGTAGTGCCAGTCAGATTCTTTGTGCTCTTCTGGGAAAGGATCACAACAGATGCACAAATAAGCTACTGCAGTGCCAAGATGCCAAAAAGACTTTTCACACATATAGTGGAAACTGCCAATACACCCAGATGAAGAAAATGCACCTGTGTTCTAGGGTGGCTTTGGGT